GTCGTCTGATTTGTCATACTGAATTTGAGATCAATGGTTTTCATAAAACTAATGAATATTAATCGTTCTACAACTGACAAAGAGAATTCCAATTTAATAATTAAATCGTTCACAATAATCTAGAACAACTTGATCTGTTGAGGATGATTTGTATTATTTGTTAAACATCGCAGTGTATGACTTGTTGTTAGCACATGATTTATAATTGTATTCGTCTGTTTCTCTAGAGAAATAGTTTTACATTCATTTAGGCCATGTAAACATGTTGAGTAATGGTTGAAGTAACATCTAATATATCGAAAATTCTTTTTAACTTTTTAATTAATAGACATTCAGCTGATCATTTGTTTTTGTTTTCTTTATCATATTGAAGATCTTTAAAGAACTTATCATAAGTAGTAGTTCTAGGTATTATTAAACTTGATGAAGAAAACATAAGAATAACTACTGAAGTAATTACATCTATTACTTTGTATTTGAATGTCGTCTTGAGATGAACACGAGGTGTCGAAAGAATTATTTTCTTGATTCGTATTAAAGTTAACTATAGTTTATTAGGGTGTCTCTGCAATTTAGTAACACTTTCATAACATGAGTGGTATGCTTAAAAAAGCAATTAACGTAAGAGTGTCATTAAACTATAGATATATTCGTTTGTTTTCTAGTTGACTTGACTTGTTACATAAGATCAAATCACAGGTCAACTCAAGTCAAGTCATTCGAGCCTAAATAAAGTTCAAATAAATTATCATCTAATTAAAATATCTCCAAATCATTTTTGACTTGACTTATTCATTTCCATATTGAACTATGAAAACGATTAATAGAAAATAAATTACTGTTTTTCTTTTACAACAAATAAATAACGTTTGTCATGCTTTCTATTATATAAATGAAATTACGAAAATTTTCATTTATTTTATTAGCATGATGACACTTTCAATGTAGATGATGTCAAGCATTTCATAGTACACAAAGGACATATTGATAGCATATTGGATAAAGTGCCAAACACTAATTCGATCACGAAATTTTATCTTTTTAGAAGAAAAAACATTCATAGGTTTATTTCAGAATGTCTGTTTGAACTAATTTTTATTTTCTAGAACAAACGTTGGGTCCATAGTTACATGTAAATATTATTCAAAACTATTTAGCAGCAATCATTACAAAGACGCCTACTCATAATTTTTATTCGTTCTGTCCGTTGCTTAATTTGATCATGTCAGCTATTTTTCTATTCTAATTCATTCACTCAAGTCAATTTGTATCGAAGCTCCAAGAAAAGAGTTCTTGTTGACATATGCAAAATGTCTCGATTTAGAAAACAAATTACATCATTGAATTTCTCAAGTAAAAATCTATATTTTCATATGTTTTCTTTTTTTTTTAATAGTTTTGTACTGTAATTTTCAACTTGGTTATTTTATTTTGTATTACATTCGAATGATTTTTGTGATTGAATTAAAGAATTGATCTGAATTTAATCACTCAAGCTAGTTCGGGTTTCTAATTTGATTATTTAATGTAAAATACATTGAGTTTTGATGAATAATAGAAAAACAAAAGATATTCGCTCTTCTCAATGTATAAGATCGACTAGTTAGTACTAATAAAAAAGATATAGGATAGATCAAGAACTATTTATCTGCAAAGTATGAACAGCATAACCTCTATTTCATATGTTATTCTATTGTTATGTTATACGAGAGGCTTTCATTTATATTTGATCTATCATATCGATGTTGTTAAGATAAAAAATAAAAATTAAGAAACTGCTCTAAATTAATGTGTTCAAACATTTTGTTTTGTTTGAAATAAAAACAAATTGACCTTTATATACACTAATAAGGAAAAATTTAGTTTGTTGTAAAATAAATATTTCCTAAGAGAAACAATGAAAACTTATAAATAATTATGTCTACTTTTTTTCTCATTGAAATTATGTTCAAAGATGGACAGAATAGTTATTTCCCAAGAAACTTACTTTAGTTTTAATTTCATCATGTGCTCCATCTTATCTTTTTCGACATCGTGAATCCATTAGATGTTTTCAGGAATAGAAGAACAGAGAACAAAGAACAGAGAACAAAATCATCAATACTAGCACAAGCCAGTGTTGTTCGATAAAATATTTCCTCTATCACCATTTGCTTCAAAAATATATCCACGACTAGATTTAACTATAACCTATTCATCTGTAAAAAGAAAAATGGTCGATGTCAATATTATTCTAGCGTATCAATCTTGATCATAACCTTTTCAAGATGTCACGAATCAACTTGAACGAACTTCTTCAACGAATATCTCTTTATATATTCGTTCAAATTTATTTTGTCCTCTTTTTCATTTAATATTATAATCATGAAGTTCAACAAATGAGCAACGCTATTTGTTATCAGTATTATTGAATAAACTGAACGGTTTGAAATAATCATTTGCCAATTTTAAAGCAACTTCATATGTAATTTGAAAACTAAAATCGACTACGAGTTTAAGAAAAGTAGCAAAATAAGATTCTTCAGTATTACTTAAGTACGATAGATCTTGGCGATGACATCGATAGAGACATAACTCTACACTGGAGGCAGGCAGTGCAGAGTGGACTGAACGTCGAATACGAACATTGTAGAGTTTAACTGCTGATTTCGAGTCAATAATGCTATTAATAACATCAATAAGCGGCTGTTTCGAATACTTTTTCGATATTATGAAGAAAAAATATGAAATATTAAACAAAAAATGATTGGATTACACAAAGAAAATAAAAAAAAATTGTTCTTCATATTTATTACTTTATTCCTATAATCCAAAGACGAACAGTATTTACTCCGCTACATCGCAAAAATAACATACTGTACGAAATAGAAGTTATATTGTTCATACTTTATATATAGATGGTTCTTGATCTGTACGACATCTTTTCTACTACGTAGTGCTCATTATCGATTTTGTACTTCGGGTAGCGCGAACATCTTTTGTTTTTCTATCATTCATCAAAACTTTCTGTATTTTATATTAGATGATCAAATTAGAAACTTGAACCAGTTTTATTGATCGAATTCAGATCAGTTCCTTTATTTGATCATAAACATCATTCAAATGGGATAGCAAAAACACCTATGTTGAAAATTACACCACAAAATTATAAAAAGTAAATAAAAGCATAGATTTTCATCTAAGAAATCAAATAATGTAATTTGTTTTGTGATTCGAGACGTTTTACATATATTAAAACGTGAAGTTTCTATATGAATTGACTTGAATGATTGAATTGGAAAAGAAAAATAGTTGACATTATCAAATTAGGAAATGAGCAGAAAGAACAAAAATTATAAATGGATGTTTTTGTAATGATTGCTGCAAGTTAAAAACTAATTAGTTATAAAAATTACATCTACATGTCGAACAATGTTTACCCTAAAAAATAAAAATTAGTTCAAACGAACGTTCTGGAATAAAGTTACGAATTTTTTTCTAAACAGATAAAATGTCGTTATCATCAAATTGAGATTTGGCATTCTACAGCAGTTTTCTTGATATGAAAACAATTTAAATGAATACCAAAAAGATGACAAACAAATAAAGATAATTTTTATCGAATAATATCTCTCTATTTGAGATGTACAAGATCAAAATATAAAAATTGATTGCAGCCGGAACTAAAAAACCGTTTGGTGCATCCTCGAATCTCCATATATGTGACATTGAATATAATATAAATTTAAAAAAAAATGACATCTGATAAACTGTTAATACTCATTAAAGGACAAAATCAAGCAATAGGTATGAACAACAATATATATTCACATTCGAATATTGTAATGTGAATTCGTAGTTCAAGAAATGTATATTAACTATTTTTCGATAAAACTCAGCAATAAAAATATGATTATTCGAATGTATCTCACATAGCTCAATCCCCAAGCATAGAATTAAAATACTATAAACTGAAATAAATTTCTTTTCTGTTCGATAATATATGATTTTCAATTTTCACAATTACGATCTTCTTTCATAATTCTAGAGTAGAGATAAGACCCTCCTACGTTTGATCTGCAGGACAATCTTTTCATTGCATTTTGGACAAGGGAAAAAAACTTATCTGTATATAGAATACGATGTTAAATATGATAGACGCACTATTTATGCAAGAATCATTTGCACTATGATCATATTAATATATCTTATCGCATGTTTTCTAGCAGAAATGAAAAGAACAATAAAAAAAACTTGACATCTATAGAGTGAATAAAAAAATAATAAAACAAGCACAAGCATACAGGATTCAAAATGTAATCAATATAAACACATGGACAACGAGAAGAGATCAGTTTTCGTGAATTTCTCGTATGAACGAATAAATAAACTATTATCTATTTGATTTGGCGATAAACAGATTCTTCGTCTTTGAGTAAATATCAATCCAGCTGAGTTAAATAATCTTTCTATTGAAGCATTAGCCGTTAGTATGTCATCGACTCTTTTGACTACTACTGATAATAATGAAAAATCACGATAAATTTCACTAATAGACCAGAACTTCATTAGATCACGTTCAATGATATGACTTAAGTGTCCTGCAGGCTCCGGGTCCTAAACAAAAATGTCCTGTTCCTACATGTACACAACAAAATAGGTTATCTGCAGGATACGTGTTCTGTGACATGCTCTATTCTTGAGTTCAATGTAACAATACGAAATAACTTTGAAAATCCGCATCTTATACACAATACATTTATATATATAGCTTTATAAAATTTCCCAAATTACATAAATGTCTCGATTAACACAGTGAATAAACAAATAAAACGTTTTAATTAAAAAACAAAAAATAATCATAACGAAATGAATGAATAACAGAATAAAAACAAGCTGACCATATTCTTCTTCGAGAACATGCAATAACTGAAGAAAAAAAAACAACTACTTATACAATTCTTATTTTTTCATTGTTTATCACAAAAAGAAATGATTGGCTAGCATAATCAAAATAACAATCATTTAAAAAATGCTTGTTGTGTTGGATCATGAAAACTTATGGTATGATTATGATTTGAATTTGTTATTTCAGTACTATTGAAATTATTTGAAGTAAGAAAACCTGAATGTTTATCTTTTCTTACTGCTGTTGTTCTAAAATAAAATTTTTATTATAAAAAAAGAAGAAATATTTAACAATACAAACTGTTGAGCATTGTCTACGACTCCTATTGGATATTGACTTTTTCTAATGAGACCAACATCAGCTTTGAATACATTACGACGATAATCTATAGAATATAATTAAATAACAAATTGTATCAGCTAAATCAATACTAAGCATTCAATTGTATTTATCTTCTCAGAAAAAAAGTATATCAAATTACTCAAAATCTCTACTAGAGAAATCTATATGATCTGAGAAAATCAACAAAGAATATGATAATTTTGTATAATCATACTAGCATTGTTTTAAACACGAAAAAATTTTTTTTGTTGTTCAACTTAGGATAACAACTATAAACCATTTACAAAATGTTTATCATTAATTTAGAGAATAGACTTCGAATAATTTGAATTATATATGAAAGCAACCAATCATATAACTGAAAAGAATATAATAAAGCAATATGATTAATAAAGAATAGGAGATTACATCTAAAAGCGATATGATATAGCAATAAAATATCAAATTAAGCTGAAGTTTTCTAAGGAGATAAATCGAAAATGATATTGAGTAATAGAACAGCATCGAGTCGACTCTTTTCTTTCTAATATATTTCATGCGAAAAGCGATGCGGTAGCAAATGTACCGACCTGTTGCTGGATGTAATGTCATTGATCGCGTAAGCGCGAAAGTAAAACGAGTATTTGGATGAGAGGTAGCAACTAATGATATATATTAATATTCTTCTAATATTCTTTTTTTTTTTATCAATAATATTTTTATATTCATAGTCGATATTTTTGTTTTTTAACTTACCACCATTACTTAATGGATCACTTCCATTATTACGTAAATCAGATTTAGATTTTTCTCTTATTTGTTGTGCTTCACGTGATGCTTTCCAACTCATTAAAAATTGTCGTGAATTATCTGTAATTTGTTTTCCATCAAGCATTTCTATTCATAGAATTAATATTTAAAAGATAAAATGATATTTACTATAATAAATTACCTAATGTTGTTGAAACAACAATTAATCGTTCACGATAACGTGACTTTGAACACATTGGATTTCGACTTGTATCAAGTCGTTTTAAATATGGCCACATACTTAAAAGTTGTACAAGTTCACGAAGATTTTCTAAATTATTATTATTTGCAGTTAATTCTTGTAATTTTTCGAGACAACCTAATTCAACTAAAGAATCTAAATTATTGCCACTAACATTTAGAATTTCTAGAAAAAAAAAGAAACAATATTTTGTTTTTTTTTTTTACTGTTTTTTCTTCTGTTTATTTTCAAATAATTACCAAGAACATTCGATAAACATTGTAAAGTTCGTGGTTCAAAAACAAGTTTTTCACCTTCAGGTAAATGTTGATTTTCAGCATAGATTTCTGTCAAATAAATACATTTATCAAGACCTTCAAGTACTTGTATTTGATTGCCACCAATATATAATTTTTGTAATTTTGAACAATAATCAAGATTTTCTAATTTTTGTATACGATTATTTTGTAAATAAAGATATGTTAAATTTTCAGCGAAATTTATATTTTCAATTTTATTTATTATATTATCATAAAGATAGATTACAGTTAATAGACGACAAGGTGGAATCACATCCTAAGAGAAATGAATAAAAAAAAATAAACATAAAAATAGTTAAGTCAAAGAAAAAAATAAATCTATTAATATTACAATTGAATCAATGCCTCGATTTTGAAATGGTAAATGTGTAAGACGTGAAAGATAATGTTCAACTGTTTCATCAGCACGTCGTTTATTATGACCTGGTGTTTGTTTTGCAATTAGATCAGATGTTAATTTTACCATTGTATTTTCTATTTCAAAAAGTTTAATTGCAAAAGAAAATAATTATAGAAAAAAAAACTAAATTCATAAATTTAATTGACATTAGATATTTGTTCTATATTTGTTGCGAAGCAACGGACTTCAAATAAAAGATGTATAACTATTAAAAATGGAGAATTTTATTAAGTCATACGCCTTATTCAGAAACTACAAGTTTGTTTGCTATTTTTTTTTATTGATAGTATTTAAAACATATAATGTTTTGAGAAATAAGTCCAAACTTTTATATAAACATTTTGTGTTGAAAAATAAAATACACATAAATCAGATAATAATGAAAATAAATATAATATTAGGAAATTCTATTCATGTGTAACTATATTTTTTTCTATAACTGATATTTATATAGCAAATTTAGATGAATTGAGCCATATCACATTAGATGCTGAGAATGTAACTCAAGTCCAAATAATGATTCAGTTCGATGTACTATACAGTTTGATTATGTTATTTTTGATAGTTATGTCGAGTTTGTCGTATCGATATAAAACCTCGAATATTTCTGATTTTGATTAAGCGAGAGACACGAAAATCACAGCACTGACTTGCGCCGTTGACTTCGGATAATTGCTGAAAGCTCAGTCTGATTGAGGGCGAAAGTTCAATAAAAAACACAACTTTTGACAATGACCACAAGTCTGGATTAAATCGTAGATTTACTAATTAATCATATTTACAAAATCGCACTTTCGACAATGGATGATTACTCGTTTATTAGGAAGACATCGCAGTTATCGAACTAACGACAAATGGCTAAAAAATTCTTATCATTAGACTTCTGACAACGTGAAATTATTTATTGTCGAAAATCCAGTGATAGCTTATTTAATTAAAAGATAAAATCAATAGTCTATTACAAAACTTTCGGCAATTGCCAAAACTTAACTGCGAAATTCATGCTATTCGATTTAGTTCGATAGAGCAATTGATGCTCTATCTAACCATGTAGTTTCCATTTGATTTGTTTCGAATCTTGTCCGAAAATATGATAAACTTCGAGGAGTAGTGAAATGAAACTTTTCCAAGCTCATATTTCATTGAAACGAAATTCGTTAATTATGAAAACTACTTTAGATGAAAGAGATCCATCAAACTAGAACGTGTGCAGAATATGAAACAAAATGATTTTGAAATTAAAGAGAAAATTGAATTTTACTGTTAAAATTTGGGTCATTTTTGCATTTATGCAACACCAAGTTTAAATTACTTTTCGCAAAGTTTTCTATGTAAGATTTAACAGAAATCTAATAAAAACTATCTAAATCGATACAGAAATCGACGCTCTCTACCCAGCCATGTATCAATGAAAAAAATTCAGATGATTACTAGACTAAAGTTTCATTGTAGAAAAACAGTGTATAGTCTATAAAAAAAAAAGAATCACGAATAGACTTCTCAGAAAATTAACAAACTTGTAGTACAGATAAGGAATAAACCCAATGAAAAATATATGGTCCGATAAAGTAATTGATGCTCTATCCAACTATGTTCAGATAAGAAATCTTCAAGGTTTTGTATAAATATATTAAACTAAACAGAACTATCAAAAATAACGTAAACAAGCTGTATATCAAGGTTGCATAGTTGGACTATGTGATAAAATTTTCTAAAGAACCGAACATTGTAGTTTTCAGATCCTAGAAGACATTGTAGGAGTTTGCTTTTAACAATACCATCTGAAAGAGTATAAAATTCTGAACAATATGAGCAATCATCATGTTTTTTCACGACCTTCTCTTACAAAATTATAAACATCAGAAAGCACGAAAAATTGCTGAAAAATGCTGATATTTTTCTTCTTTTGCAAAGCTTGTAACTTTGTAAGAGAAGGTTGAAAAAACACGATGACTTCTCAAATTGTTGAGAATTTTGCACTCTTTCACATGGCACTGTTGAAAACAAACTCTCACAACATCTTCTAGGATCTAAACTCTACTGTGTTCGGTTGTTTTTAGAAAACTTTCTCATATGTTCCAACTATGAAATTATAGTTTTGGGCAGTACTATATATTAATTTTAATTTTTTTGTTTTTATACTCAGTCAGAAGCAACCTATCAAAATAATGTAACAACAAGTATTTACATCTCTAACTTTGTTTGTTGATTTCATAAGTAATCATTATGATGTTCGTGCGAAAAAATCTTCTGTGTTTAATAAAATGATGAGAATTATTTTTGAAGATATAGTTTTTTTTATAAATTCAAAATGGATATATGTGTATTGTATAATTGCGAGTGATCAACCTTGATTTCGAGTGAAATCAATGATTCTTGGTGAAAATATCATTACTACTGCAATAAAAATTGAACAATTCATGGTATAGTCCTCACGATTCCATACTATCTCGTTTAAAAATTTTTTTAAAAACGCTTGTTTAATCGAGATATATCGAGTCAATTCAGAAAATGTCAGCTTTAATCAATGGTTTCAAGATGTTTGCTTTTTGGTAGTATCCCTTCGTTACAATTGCAAGAAAAGTATTTGTAAGGGAATGTTGCTAACCAGTTTCCTATTCATAAAGCAATATATTACTTTGAAAATACTAGAAAAATAATTGATGGATAATTTGATTGATGAAGAGAACCTTATCTTTACTATTCTATTCTTATTTTAGGAAGAAAACTGTCATTAAGTAATTATAACAAGTGTGTTGAATGTAATAGATAAAAGAAAACGATGCTGAAATATTCCAAATTTCGATATTTTACTTCTCACGAGGGAACTATTTTTGAATATCTAATAATTATTACTTCATAATAGATTAGAATATATCAGCTTGCCAATCACGCGTAAGCTTTATGATTAATGATAATGAGAATTACGATCAAGAAAAATATTTTGTTTATTTTAGAACATTTTCTCGAACCAAACTAATTGTTGTATTCATTCATTATCCAAACATTACATTTTATAATCGTTTTAGAAAAAAACTTATTTCAGCCCTGGTAAAGATGTATTTGTTCAATACATCACAAACATACCAATTCTGGAGAAAATCTTATTAAACATTTAATATTAAGTGTTGATAATAGACCAGCAATAAAAATCTTATAGGCCACGATACACAATATAGTATTATTGAACAGTTAGCACTATTCGATAAATCTAGAATAATACTTCGTTTTTTTCTCCAATGACTAACAATTTGTACTTGTAAGATTCGCTTAATACTACAAAATACAATACCGTCAGTTATTGTAGTATACTGGATAGATAGAACTGATTTGAAAGTTAAATAGCTCTACGTTCGTCTATATTTGAACTGTTAATACTAAATTCATTGTATTTTAACATGTTCAGTTCATACTTCATTCGTCAATTAAGTCGCAGAATGAATTATGAATTCATAAGTTGAAATTCACGATGAATGACAAATCGACTCGAACAGAAAACCTTCGGTCATAAGTGTATTCATTACAAGAAAAAAACAATGATAATTTTTTTTGTCGATTACATTTCTTTGTGAAAGTTAGAGCTTTTCTAGTTATTAAGGACACATATCGAGACAAGTTGTATTAATATATATATGACTTTTGTTTTCTTTTTCTTATTACAAAATCATTGTGCACGATTTCATGTTGTAACTGTTTCATTAAAACAACAATCAGAAGCAGAAAAAATATTTATCATATGTCATCATAGTTTTGACTGACAAAAATTTCTTTTATTTCAATTTTGAGACTTTGTTAACATATTAAATTTATCAGTTTGTACTCAATGTCATCTTTGACGTCACTCGAAGAACTTGACATTTTTATAAGTGAGCTGTGCAAGCGGAAATAGAGCTTGTTGAAAATGAAATAACTGATTTGCAGCATGAAGTAAGTGCCACATTTAATATCGCATGCGACAGAATTAAAATTACGAGTATTAGTACCAATGCAAGCTAAACTTATCTCTATTCGATTTTTCCTTTTTGGAGTGTTGAAAATTTCACGAATAGAATTAAATAAAATAAAAAAATCTTTTCCCAATCTCATTCAAAGCCTTGGTAATAATAATCTTTTTTCTTTCGTTAAATATAGACTGCTTTATTATTTGATTTAATTATATTCAATAAACAATTCTGCTGTATTAGCTTATTTCAATGTATCTTATAAATGAATTATTATGAATAATCGAATTTACGACTTTCAAAGAAAATATTCTATAAGTCAGTCAAAACATGACATATTCATCTATGTTATGATGTTCCTAAGTGTTTGTTCTATATACGTAATGACGAGATCAATTATCTAAAAATGAAAGAAAAAAAAATTTGCCGGTTGTTAAGTTTCTCATGGAACAAAAAAAATTCTATATATAAGTAGCATTTCTATATTGAATACTTTCAAATATTCGTCTATAGTTAATAATAAACTGTATTTGATATCAATAATGTTCCCGTTTTTATTTTTACTATAAATAATATTCAATTAGTGTTTGCTATTATTGTCATTGTCTATTGTAATTCAATTATTTTCTAAGATATTTCTTTTGAGAAATAGTTATCTTAAAATATACCACCCTAGATTTTATCATCATACTCTACAAATATCGATAGAATAGTATAAAACAAATTATTTGTTTGTGTAGAACAAACAAGATGCATTTTTTAGATCCAGTTATATTTGCTCAATGAGAAGAATATCATCAAAAAGATGCATGATTAATGGTAAAATATTCCAAGCTTTGTAAACGCATACAATAAATAAAAAATTAGTTTATTTAAAGACTTAGCAAAATATAATAACAAAGGAACAAATGCATTCATAAAATTAGTTCTTGAGCCCGTTCGAATGCGAATGAAAGTTCGTCATTTGGGTTTTTTTTGGTATAGTATCAATTGATAAAAGTACGATGTTCAATAGATTATTTGTTAAAGAAATTGTAGTAACACGTTATCAATAAACCAACAAAAGAGATTACGAAATATAATGGATTATCCTATAGATGATGTTTTATATTTTAGTATCCAATA